ATATATATGTGTGTGTGTGTATATATATATAGATAACATAATAAGACATAACATTTATTCAAGACGAATATTTCGGACACGCCTGTGTCCTTCTTCAGCGTTACACATATGACTGAAAAATACAGAGCAGATCAACTAAAAATAAATCCTAAGATAATAGTATAATTAGTAACTGAGAAGTAATTAACTAATAAACTGTCAGCAACACTTGAAAGCGTTGGCTATAAAAAGGCCTATGACAAACAACAGAGCGGAATAAACAAAATATCGGCAATGTAATGATCTAAGTTCACACTGCAATCGTAATAGTGACAGTTGGCCTATATAAAGGATAAATTATAATTTATACATTTATTATTTATCGTTATCTCCGCCAAGAAATATATGTTTTCAGTTGTGTAAGTGTGTTTATATGTGCGTGTGCGTAACGTTTTGGTGTTATCGTGCGGGTTTTTTTTGTGTGCGACATATCTCAAAAACGGCTGCACTGACATAATTAAAAATAACAGGGAGTGTTCTGTATAATCCAATTAAGAAATTATTAAACTTTGGTGACGGTCCATAATAAGGTGTGGATGTGAGGACCATTTAAAGGGATTTAAGAGCAAAAGTGTTAGACAAGACATTTAAAAACTAATGAACTGATATGAATGCAAATTTTGTGAAAGTTTAACCCAGTTACAAGGAAGATTAAGTGTTGGCGACGATCCAAATTTGGGTGTGAACTTGAGGGTCATTTCAATTTTAAGGTCCTGCGTGTTTCTTGCGTTCAAAATATCTCAAAAACAGCTGCACAGATCTAAATGGCAGTTATAGGAATTGTTATTACGACCCAAGGATGAGGTGATTCAATTTTGATGACCATCCATTGTAGGGTGTGAATATGAGGACCATTTAAAGGAAAACGTCCCAGACCAGATATTTCAAAAACCTATCAATTTTATTTTATTTTATTCTGGTATAAAAATAATACAAAAAGTAGCCAAAAGCTAAAATCATTGCATTTACAAAAATATATAGGCCAAAATTACAAATTATGAAATTGCACAAAAACATTAAAATACGTATTTACAAATAGAAAGAACATTTACAAATTGCATTAAAAAAAGATAAATATAAAAATGAAAATAATAATAGTAATTCTCATTCTGTAAAACCAACAATATGGCATTATACGGGCCCGCAGGACGATGTGGCATGGGACCCAAGAGCAAGACAAGCGACAGACCAGAGAGGATCAGGTATTGAGCAGCCTGGTAATATATGGGATTGGTGAATTCTGGTACCTTTTGGTATGGCAACGTTGTGAATTGATGAGTGAATTATGTCTTAAGTTTCTGTTGTTAGGATTTGAATGGGGAAGCATATGACGATGTTGTGATTGGAGCATTGATCTATCGAAATTACACACTAGGATTTCACGTCTAGATTTAAGTGTGATGATGTTGGTGATTTTAATAGCTTCATTATAGGACCATTGTTGATTTGGGATGTGAGTTTTACCTAGAACAATTCTGACTGCTCTTTTCTGGACCCTTTCCAATCCGTCGCACTGCAGAACTGTCAGAGACGAATGCCACACCGGGCAGCAGTACTGAAGGATCGGCCGTATATAAGAAGTGTAAAAACTAACTATGTCACTGACAGAAGCACCACTTCTTTGCAAGAGACTGAGTGAGAAAAAATGAGAGGCTTGATTACAAATTTCACTTACATGATTATCCCAAATCAAGTTATTTGTGACAAGTTTAAGGCTATCAACCTGAGAAATTATATTATCACCAATAATAAACGATTGAATAACAGTGGATATCTTAAGAAAATTCATTTTCATGTGTGACATTTACTTGGTTTAGGAATGTAATTACGGGAACTCCAATTAGTGAGGTCACCTAAAAGTGGTCTGCAAAGTGGAATTATTCCCACGTTGGACACATTCACCAATAGTTAGGTCATCAACATATTTCCATCGTCTGCAGCTTCCTAGAAAAACATCATTAATTAAAACTAAAAAGAGGATTGGACCCAATTTTATACCCTGACGGACCCCCACAAGCAACCATGTTTAAAGATGAGAGTGTATTATGTAATTTAGTATTGTGAGTTCCGTCTTTGAGGAAGCTGCATACAATGGGAATTAGTGATCACCGGACTCCAATATCAATCATCTTAGTCATCAAAACATTATGATTAACAAGGTCAAATGCCTTAGTATAATCAATTGTAACTAGATTGACATATTAAAGTACCAGGTTTATCTAGACTTCTATAAACAAAATCCAACATTTCAATAAGATAATTTGTTGTCAAAGATCCACGCATATTGCCAAATTGTTGGTTGTCAATATTACATTTAATATCTTTCATTATCCAATCACTTATAAAAGATTCAAAACTCTTGCAAAAATTGGTGTGTGAGAAATGGCCCGCATATCATTAAAGTTGGTGGAATCCTGCACTTTGGGTACTGGGACAATTGTGGCGGTTTTCCAGCAGCTAGGAAATTTTCCTTGCTGTAAGGCGGTATTCATAATGGTAAATAATGGTTAGGACAATTCATTTGCAAATTTCCTATGTCAAATGGGTGACAACTTTTACCAGGATCCAGCAGCAAAATTTTCTTTTTTATTTTTATATTTCTTTTTTTTAAATGTAATTTTTCATGTAATTTGTAAATATTCTTTCTTGATTTGTAAATACGTATTTTAATGTTTTTGTGCAATTTTATTATTTGTAATTTCGGTCTATATAGTTTTGTAAATGCAATGCTTTAAGCCTTTGGCTGCTTTTTGTATTATTTTTATACACTACAAACATAGCTTTTCAAATTTTGGTTTTAGGTGTCTGGAATGATAACAAAACAGATGACTTATGCTCCAAAAGTAATGTGTGTCTGGATACAAGTACGAACCTATCTGAATCTGATATATTTGATACCTGTAACACATGTGAGTTAATGTGCTTGCTTTAACGCGAACGGTGCTTAAAATCAGAAGATCTCGAAATAGATATCCTCTTGGATATTGTTGCTTAGGTCGTATAAAACAACAGTGCAAACGTCGTGTTTGTGAAATACTGTATGTGGGTATTCCTGGCCTGTTCTGATTGGTAATTTTTTTAAGTTTGCGGTAAAGTCAGTTCTTACCATAAAATTGGTCGTTTTTATTTTAATTACAGTGATAAATTACGATGATTATTCAGATATATCTGTAAAACCCAATACCGTTACTTTAATATTTATATCTTATCTACGTGGTGTACAGCAAGCAATTAACATACTATCTTACCATTATTAAGTTAAAATTACAACATATATTCACAGCCTAGTTCCATCAATTTTTTAAGGTAAAATTAATAAATAATAATGTTATAAAATAAACTTTCAAATTAGGGAGGCTTACAGAGGAAGAGTCAGCATTTGTCTACAAGGAAGGAGAAAGTTACTCGAATGTTAATGATGAAAGTTTTCGGCCAAAATTTCTAGATGAACTGTTAGATACAGCAAAACCTGCTTTACTAGATGAGGCCAACTCCGTTTGCGGCAACAATCAAGAGTGTTTGTTTGATGTTTTAGCTACACAAAATATAAATATCGGTGAAAGTACGAGGATTACAAACGAAATAAATAGCAATGATAGAGAGATCTTAGGTAAGTGGACAGCATTTCATTAAAAAACCTTGTTAGGATCAAGGAGTAGTCATATAATTGGCTCTCTGTTTTAATGCACCTGGTATCACGTTATCCCTTGATCTACTATCAAGTAACATCACACCATCCCTAATAATGGTGATACCGTGTAACTGTCAAGTTGCTTCACATATGGCGTGTCTTAGTTTATTTGGTATTACTTTTATAATTATTTTGCTATAAAAATTGGAAATGATTATTATTATTATTATTATTATTATTGTTAATATTATTAATTATTATTATTGTTAAAATTATTGCTATTGTTGTAGTTATTGTTATGATTATGATTATTATTTTTTACATTAATAGAAAATATACCACCAGTGATAAATCAAATTATTGATATGAGCGAAGAGAGTGTCTTAACTGATGGCTTCAAACTTAGTGTGCGTGTAAATCAGACAATTGTTCTACGAGTAAACGCATCTGACGAGAATGAGGGTGATGTCTTAAACTATTTTATTGAAAATGAAATTCCCGGATCAAATATAACGAATGAAAGTATGTATTCCAATATCACGTAAAATACAATTTGTTTTATTTGTGTCTATGAGTTTACTTATCGCATAATATCATGTACAATGTGCAATTACACTCACACATATGTACATATATACAGAATAGATTCCATCTGTATAGACTTCGAAATCAATTGCCTCCAATTGGTTTCAAACTTTAAACAAAAACCCCAAGAAAATATATATAAGATGGAGATTAGAAATGAGTAAAACAATGTCCACAACTTGGATTTCAACTTTGGTATCCAGCCATTGTTTCTCACAGCATTGTTGTTTTCCAACACTTTATTTTTAATCTTTATATATCAACTTTATAAACCAACTGTATATAAGCCTACAGACACTTAGGCTAGTGCTTTCCAAAATAATTATAAAATAACCTTTTTTATGTGTGTACTCCATGTTTAATATTTGAAAAATATGAATAAATTTGTTTAAATCGTTCGTTGTTTAATGAATTTGTCTACTAATATATATTCTCAGCTGGACTTTTCACTTGGAAACCAACCTCAATTGATATAGTTGATCTAGTATTTGAAGTCAGTGATGGGACACAGAGCATAGCTAAGTACATGGAAGTCAAAATTTGCGCATGTGTGAATGGCGGCGTGTGTGACTATGACGCTCTGGTAGAAGGATCCGATCTTCCAAATAACAGATTTGCGGTACGATTAATCAGTTGCTTTGTTAACAAATATTTTAATTGAATGGGTAATTTTAATCAGCAAAAAGCCGGACACTCACTACGGCCGACGGTGGTCGGCCCACATAGAGAATGCAATGCCACGACGCGCGCAACAAATCTTTTTTAATGACAATCTGTTCAGACTGCCACGGACAATCAGCAGACGTCATCGTGTCGTCAACTCTCACAGGGAGATAAGTAACGGTCGTACGACCGCCATTCGACGCAGTGACCGGGTTTACAATTACTGCCCCAATTGCGTGTATTTTATTTTCCTAACGAATAAGTCATAATTGAATTTTGACTGAAGGCCTAAAAGAAAATTACTTTCGATTTCTCTATCTAGGGGTTGGGGGATCATAATGTTATGTCTAATATGTGTACTCATTCTTGTATTGTATATGAGGTGAAACTAAAGATTCTGGTTTCATAAATTTCACATGGACTTTATCATCTTGCAGTACATTTTATATATTATACTGTACATAGTTATATACACAGCCTTACACAGTGATGTTTTGATAAATATATTAGGTTGTGCAGTGTACCTGCTCACCTGCATGGACATCATTCGATTGTTCTGAAGATTACGATGCCTGCATGGATGACCCCTGCTTTACTGGTGTCAGCTGTAAAGATCATATGGCACCAGAAGTGAATGCAACGTGTGGTAACTGTCCTGCGGGCCTAGTGGGAAACGGTATTAAGTGCTACGGTATGTATATGACAGGGAGCTTTCGATTTGCTCGATGACGCGACGCTAGAACGGAGTCACTCATGCTTGACCGTCTTTTCGGGCATCTTACCTTTTCTGCATACATGTATTTGGCCAAATTTCGTACTAAAATCCACGCGACGAGATCTACGCGAAGAGGAGAACTTAACGTTTTCGCACGCGCGGATGACTTTTAGTGGCGTTATTACTTTCTAGGTCCTACCGTGTCGTGCAATCGGAAGCTCCTAATGAAAGCTAGTTGGCACAAATCGAAGTTACCTACCCCAATATTCATTTTAGAAAAGTTTTGACTGTCTTATTTAATACACACAAGAAAGAGTCAGACCAGAATTTCAAGCCTGTGTACTGATATTATAATAATTGTTGAAAATTTAGCCCAAAAGCAATACAGCTACCACTAATTTCTGATGCGGTTTATTAAAAGGAGTTAATTTGTTGGTATATTAACTCTTGTCATTTTATCCCTCAATATTATCTTTCTACAAATTTGTTAGATAATGACGAGTGTTCAAACGGTCAAGACCAAATTGAGGGAGCTCTTTTCTGCGAGCATACTGAGTTGTGTGTGAATACATTGGGAAGCTATGAGTGCAGTTGTCGATCTGGATATGAACTGCATCCGAATGAAAAAGAATGTACAGGTAAGAAAGAAGTAGCTTGTTTTGTATTGCAAATATATATGTATATATTTATTATATGTATATATTTATTATACTTGGCACATGTAACTTGAAATTGTTTCTCTCTTGTGAGTCATTGAAACGTTTGAATCCACTGCTATGTGAATG